GACCCTCTTTCGTCCCTTAATCTCTGTAAAAAAAAATATAAACTGCCATGAAAGTCATGGGCCAGTGAGAAAAATAATAGTTTCGCGGCGCACAGTGACTCCCGGTAATTAAAAATTCACCTCTCCCCTCCTAATTGAGATTAAGGGATGAAAAAAAGGCAATTCGACGGAGAATTAAATTCTCCATTAATTAACCCTCTTTCATCCCTTAAACTTTGCAACAAAAAATATAAACTGCCATGAAACTCAGGGGCCAGTAAGAAAAATAATTCTTTCGCAGCGTATACTGACTTTTCACCATTCGCCTGGTAATTAAAAATTCACCTTTCCCCTCCTAATTGAGATTAAGGGATGAAAAAATGACAGTTCGACGGAGAATTAAATTCCCCATCAATAAACCCACTTTCATTCCTTAATCTCTGTAACAAAAAAATAAAAACTGCTATGAAAGTCATGGGCCAGTGAGAAAAATAATAGTTTCGCGGCGCACAGTGACTCCTGGTAATCAAAAATTCACCTCTCCCCTCCTAGTTGAGATTAAGAGATGAAAACATGGCCGTGCGACGGAGAATTAAATTCCCCATCAAATGCCCATTTTTTATCCCTTAATCTCAATTAGGAGGGTAGAAGCGAATCTTTAATTCGCGGGCGAATAGTGAAAAGTCACCGTGCGCGGCGAAACAATGATTTTTCTTACTGGCCCATGAGTTTGATGCTAGTTTTGATTGTTAAATTAAAAATTTTTTTCTTCTCGTATACCCTTTCGGGTCTTTACGAATTGTTCCCTTCCCACCCCGCTCAACCCCCTGTACCGCATTTGCCGAAGGGAGGGAAAATCTCATTCGAGGGAAAAACCTGCCCTGGTACAGTCGTCTTTTTTGACGGGACTACCGCTCGGCAGTGAAACTGTGAGATTAGAGCGCTATAAATTTTGACTGCCGGTGCCGGGAAGCGAACCCGGATTATTGGCATACAAGTCTAGCACTCCAACCGCACGGCCACTACCGTGGGTAGTTTTTATTGTATTGTTACAGAGATTAAGAGATGACAGAGGGTTAACTGATGGGTAATTTAATTCTCCGTCGAACTGCCCTTTTTTCATCCCTTAATCTCAATTAGGAGGGGAGAGGTGAATTTTTAATT